TAATCAAAAGATTGCACTGGTTCTTCAATAACGTTGTTTTATTATCGATTACCGGAAGTCAACTCATATAATGACGTCAATACAATAACGTATAAAATGGCGCGTCACGCTAAACGTGACGCTAATATTGGCGCAATAACTCAGTACATACATATGTACGTAACACACCCCTCGGGCTTAAATGGATACCATCCCTTACAAATTGGTGTTTCGCTACACTGCCGTCACCATAGACAAATCCGCTGTATACATCAGTGAAGTATTATTGTCTAAACACAGCTGTGACAGTTCTTCATTCAGTTGAGTAACATTTGCATCTGATCTTGGGCATACAGTACATATATATATTGAACAAGGTCGAGGACACATTGACCTTGTAGGTAAAAACGGTTTCCGATCAATATCTGGCAAGGACCAGTAGATAACTCTTATTCATGTTGGGGTCAAGGGGTCAAAGGTCAAGGACACATTGTCATTGTAGGTAACAACGGTTTCCGATCAATAACTAAAGAACGCTTAGGCCTAGGAACTTTAATCATGGTTTGATGATTTTTCATGTCCAGCAGATGACCCCTATTGATTTTCGGATCAATGGATCAAAGGTCAAGGTCACATTTATCTTGTTGGTAAAAATGATTTCCGATCAATAACTTGAAATCCCATGAGCTGTTGGCATAAACTTCGTGAGTGCATTTGACTTGACAATAAGATGACCCCTATTGATTTTTTGGTCAAGGGGATAAAGGTCAATATTTACCTTGTATTTGAAAACAGTTTTCGATCAATAACTTGACAAGCCCGTAGCTGCTGTCCCTCAAAATTTGTTGGTGCATTGGTCTTGGCCAGTAGATGGCCCCTATTGATTTTTGGGGTCCATGGGTCAGTGTCATATTGACATTGTATTTAAAGACGGTTTCTGGCCAATAAGTCAACAACTCAAGTTGCCTTGGTTGATATCTTTATATTAAACTAAAAATGATTTTCGTTTACACATTTGAAGGTCTTATGTAATATAACAACCTGGCTGTCATTAATGAGGCCTACATGATTCATAAAATGTATGCATATATCATTTGATAAGATTTGTAATAAATTTGTCATAAAATTGCTGCACACAACATATGCGGTGACAATGATTATAACCTAGTGACTAGTCATGACCAGTAGATAACCCTTATTGATTTTTTGTTCACTAGGTCAAAAGTCAGTCATAATAACCTGATCACATGACTAATTGGCTGCCGATAGGGAGAATACATGTATTACAAACATATCTTGTTTAGCTCTATGGTAGTATTTTTTGTGTTAAGTCATTTTCTTTTTTATATGTGACGATATCAATGGTTTGTCATTTGGTTTTACATTTATGTGCTTTGAAAGCTTTAGTATTTTGTTTGTAAACGAGAAAGCGTAGATGTTATATCGTTATCCTTTAAATGACCCCAATATGTAGCGGCAATTGTGTTTCTAAGTAAATTATAGCCTTACAGGCATAAGATGTTTGAAAGACTTCACACAAGGTTATTAAAAATTTGAGAAAGGCATAAAAAGGACAATGAAACCTTCGATTCTGGTCTAGAACTGGTTCACCTACCCAGATTTAATTACATTGTGCTGGACACTAAGATGAGGTCAAGTATTATAAGAAGAGGGCTCTGTATGGGTAAGCTCAGAAATAATTTGCTCAAGATTAAATTGCTGACAGATAGAGTTTAATGTTCGGGTCATTTGAAGATTCGTTTCATTAAATTAAAATCGCAAGTCACAACAATGTCTGATAAACCAGTATATAATGCTAGGCCGAGACATTCTTCAATTAAATTAGTATTGTAAGTATCTGAATCGGGCGAACGATAAAAGAATGCAAATAAAATACGTTTTGAATGAGACGGCATGATTATAATCTAACATCCAACTACATTCTAATCCTCTTGGTTCGAGGTGTAACCGCTGTTTATAAGGGAGGTTTTCCTCACATATTTACACCTCCATAGTTCTTTTCTTTCTGGAGTATGAAAGGATTGAATTTGTTTCGGTGTGTGAAATGTTTAACCATGTTTCACTGAACGCCAGAATATCGAATATACCAAATTCTGCTTCCAAAATAACAATTTTGCTTACGAGGCTTTGTCGATTGTAATGTAAAAAAGAGAGACAACTGGTACTTTCATTTCTTCTGATAGCATAGTTGTACTAGTAATAGAAAGAGATGCAAATGAAGCTGTCCGAATTAGTTGATTGGCCAGGATTTGGATGGATAACACCAGCAATTACCAAAAGTATTTATAGAGAAATATACAAGTTACCTTACCAAAAGTACATGTATTAGTAGAGAAATATACAAATTACCTTATGAAAAGATATAAAAATATGTGAAAAAGAGTGTAATGCGTTGGTCAAATGTCAGTCTGTCCATGAACACGAAATAGTATGCATGGTCTTGTAGGTATATTTGTAAATATCTATGTATCTGTTAACAATAAAAGCAAGAACATGTCAAACCATCATGCATGCATACATGTATACAAGAGTAAAAATGTTACATGAATGCCATGTAAACCAATTCGTTTAGTTGCAATTTAAAATGAAAATCTGAAAACAAAGTGATCCCCCGGAAGCATTAATCATAACAAAATTACATGAAAATTGCAGATTCGGTTTGATTGAGTCTATATATTATTTATATAAACAAGAGCCATGTCAACGTGGCCATCCCCCGCCGAATGGGTTAACTCATTGGAAGTATGTAATAGAGCAGAATAATTCAATTTTAAGAGGCCTTTTGGTAATGAAAACTAATGGCTGAAGTGATTACAGATTTGAAACCTGAATACTGATGGCTGAAAATAACAAAGGGCAATAACTGAAAAATAATGCAGGGTAGGTAATCATTCTTGTGTCATCAGTAAACTCTATCCACCTATGAAGTTTCAAGTTGATACCTAAAATACTTTTTGAGATAAGCTCTGGACAAAATAGTATGAACAAGCAATTATCACAGTATTGCAAGCAATCCATAAGTCCCCTACCGGTTAGAACCCCAGCAACATTCTGAAGGGCCATTGGCCATTCACTTATGTCTCTATTTTAAGTAAATTTGTTGAAAAAGTCCTTTAAAAGTGACCACAGGAAACAGTTTTTATGTACAGACTGACAGATGGACTGAAGGACACTCTAAAGTTATTTTTTAAACATCCCCGTTATCAAAATATAACATTTTTAAAAGCAAAATTCTTAAAAAGGAGATAACACTTGAAATAAAGATCCATGACGTCATACACGATGTAACAAAGAACAATTAGTAATGAAGTTGTTAATAATGAATGTTTATTTTGAATTTGAAGTAAAAGAAAATTAAAAAAAAAACAATCTTTTTTTCATGAAAAGTTCAAGGGAGGAAATTATGATAAATTTTGTGTTAGAGTTGTAAACCTTGTCACATCTGATGTGGTTGATGACTAGAAACTTATATTTAAAGTTTGAAGAAAATACCTTCAGAAATAAAGAACTTATAGTGAAAAAACGTAAAAACTAGATTAAGAAATCTTGAAATTCAGTCTATTTGTTGCCATAGCAACCACAATTTTCAACATAGGAAGAAAAGAAAACAATGTGCATAATCTCCAGACTGCCATCTACCCATATTTCAAGTTTTATAAAAATATTTTTAGTACTTTTTGCGCTATCACTGGATCCAGGTTATGTGTAAAATTTGCCATATTTTCAGTTGATTTGTTGCCATAGCAACCAGAATTTTCAACATAGGAAGAAAAGAAAAAGACGTGCACAATCTCCATACTGTCATCTATCCAAATATCAAGTTTCATAAAAATATTTTCATTACTTTTTGCGTTATCGCGGGATCCAGTTTTGTGGACGGACGGACTGACGGACGGACAGACGGACGGACGGAGAGTAAACCTAAAGTCCCCTCCGCTAAACCGACAGGGGACTAAAAAGAACAAAGGGCAGTAACTCAAAAATTATATAGGGAAGAGTTATCATTCTTGCGCACAGCATTCCTCCTCAATAAGGTCTATCCACCTATGACATTTCATTTTGACATCTCAAACACTTTTGAGTTATGCTCTACTCAGGTGAAAAATATGAAAAATAATAAAGGGCAATAACTAAAAAATAATGAAAGGCAGAGTTATCATTCTTGTGTACTGCACACCTCCTGAGTCCTATGAATTTTCATCTTGATATCTCGAAGGCTTTTTGAGTTATGCTCTGGACAAAAATTAATTTTGAAAAATAACGGCAATAACTCAAAAATTATGCAGGGTAGAGTTATCATTCTTGTGCACTGCACTCCTCCTCAATGAGATCCATCCACCTATGAAGTTTCAAGTTGATACCTCAAATAGTTTTTGAGATAAGCTCTGGACAAAATAGTATGAAAAAGAACAAAGGGCAATAACTCAAAAATTAAATAGCGAAGAGTTATCATTCTTGCGCACAACATTCCTCCTCAGTAAGATCTATCCACCTATGATATTTCATGTTGATATCTCAAACACTTTTTGAGTTATGCTCCACTCAGGTGAAAAATTAAGTATGAAAAATAACAAAGGGCAATAACTCAAAAATGATGCAGGGTAGAGTTATCATTCTTGTGCACTGCACTCCTCCTTAATGAGGTCTATCAACCTATGAAGTTTCAAGATGATACCTCAAATACTTTTGAGATATGCTCCGGACATAAATATCGGACGGAAGGACGGAAGGTCGGAAGGACGGACGGACGGAGACTATTTCTATATATTCTTATAGATAATAAACCACCTCCGTGGTCGAGGGGTTAATGTCGATGACTTCTAATCCAGTTACCTCTCTGGCTTAGGTTCGATCCCCGGGAGATGTTTAAGCAGTTAAGCGTGGATGAAGGTAATCTAGTACTGGTGTAACTCTCCATGAACGATGGTTAGGAATCATCCGCCTATATGACTGAAATACTGTTGGCAAACGGCGTAAAATGAAACAAACAAGCAAACACAATATTTTCAACAATTATTCACTCATTTTAAAAGTATAAAAATACAATATTTAAGCATTCAAGCACTAGTAGTACCATATTTTAACTTTTTGTTTACAAAATTATCAACACTGCCATATGCGGAAGCGGAACTTGAAAAATCGCATATGTACCTGTGTCACGCACTCTCCAAAGTACTGTGTTACTGTGGTATTATTGTAATTCAAGAATCAGAACGATAGTTCACATTATATTCTGGAATGAGATATGCAAAACATAAAAATCATAAAGTTTCCATTCTTTTGTTTTATACAAACAACTTTTATATTAAAACAACATAGGGTAAACGAATGGATTCAGTAACTTTTTTGTCGGTAAGGCATGTTTTTATTAGGGTATGTCGTCATCATCTTCAACCTGTCTCATGTGGCATTCTGCATATTTCATGCTCTGTTTAAGTGCAAGAAGCAGTGGGATGTTCCTGTCTGGAGTCAATGTGTAATCGACTTCATAATTAACAACAGGGTGAATAGACGCTTGGTCGATTTGAAATATCTCGCTTGCCCTTTTGACGGCCTTTTGCACTTTAACGCTCCAAAACAATAATTTTGTGTCCTCTCTCACTTTTTCGCACAACAAGTCGGCCTTTGTAAGAATAAGTATCCTCGGAACCCCTGTCGTAATGAAAAAGAGGAATACACGACTGTAAATAAACTTTATAATAATTGTACATAAATGGTCAATATTAATAAAGACCTTTTTACGACGCGGTCCGTATCTTTAAAAAATCGAGCGGAAGCAGTATTTCTCGCACATGCGCAATCTGTGTAGGGCAAAAAAGCATCGCCCTACACAGAAATATAGGAGAAGTATATAGACTATTCCAAGTTAGCTTAAGATAAAAAGTAGAAAATAATATGAAATAGCTTTAACAAAAACATAAAAGATACCTTAATAGCTTTGTGGCCAAGTTTGCCCTAAAAACGCATGGATTAGATGGTTGTTTAAGATATTCCCATTACTATCACGGCCCTGACATTGACATTGTTGTAAAAAATTTAGAAATATATCTATTAGCAAATAAAGAGGTCAAGATAATTGTTGTTGAAATAATTCATATAAAAACAATAGAAATTTTAATAATTTATGAAATCAAGGTAAAATATCATTTTGAAAAAAGTCAGAACATGTGAATACAATTCAAGTTTTCAGTTTACCAGATTTTATCCTTTATCTGATTGATGCCAAACAGAAAATGTGTAAGCCACATAAATATATTTACATATCTTTTTTTAAATATTGAGCAATAAAGATAGGTAGTGAAATAACACACTTTTTATCATCCGGTTCCACGCAACACATGCATTGCAACACTATTTGTCACTTTGCAAAACCATTAACATTGTTAAGAAGTTACTTAAATTACGATTTTATAATATTTTTGCCTGGATATCTTTGTCACCGGGATTAATCATGACATTGAAAACTGTCTCGAAATTAACAACCGCTCACGTATCAATCTGTTTGGCACTTACCACCTTGCCAACCCACTTATTTAAAGAGGGAGAGTACAAGACATATTGTGCAATATTATGTAATACAGGCGTTTAACAACCGAGGTTTTACGCACGCGTAAAATGGCTGCGACGAAATTGTCAGCTGTGCATTGCATACCTTTAGAAGAGCCCAATAAAATGCTACCTAGACAAATGTCTTTTTAGATCTGCGCAGTTGTTGAAATTAAAGGGGAACGTTACGACACGAAATCTTCTCCAAATCCCTCCCGAGGCGTGCACGTCGCGGAGAAGGCACATGGCAGGTCAAGGTAAAGTCGCTTTAAGTAGCAGAGACGATTGGTTGACCTAGGAGGGTGGCACTGACAAGAGCCGTTTTATGTTACTGCATGTTTGCTGCTGTCGCGGAATATGATGTTTTGCCAGGATTGTCGAACGAAATAAAGGACAAGGAAGATCGGCACGAAAAAGACCTCCCCGATGAGACTTCGAGAGTGGACCGGCATGGGCGCTGAGATCTCGGACTTATGGAATTTCACGGCGCCGAGCTAAAATAAAACTAAAAACACACACGATACGTCCCTACTAGTAGAACTCGTTTAATACTGTGACAGGACAGGTACGCTTCAGTCAATGTCGTTATGTGCCAGGAATCCGACACCATTTGTCTTATTTATATGTAGACAGTGTTGCTCATGATTGTTTATCATATTGCCTTAAATATTAATTCATTATTTCCCGATTACACAATATATAAACTTTTAATAAGCAAATGTCCAACGGTTAAACATCAGAGTTGACAATAAACGTAGCAGAGAAGACATTTAAGGCATCAGACCCGATACAAAAATCTAACAAAAATAAAACAGCACGTTTTACTTTACAAAAGGCAGCTATTTAAGTTTTTGAAACCAGAACTATGTCCGCACTTCACTATCCGAATCATCTCAAATGAAAAATAAAAAAAACTTTAAAGGTAAATTTCTTCAAAACGAACTTGTTTTCCAGTTTTAAAAGATATTGAAAAGTTCAGATGTTTTAAGTGCTTAATTTTACATGTATATACCGATGCGTTTTGTCTAAAATACGAAACAGTTCCTCTTTAGCACCCTGTTGTTTCAATTGAGTTTTTTGATGGAAAAGTCGTCTAATGATATCTTAAAAAGAGGGCTTTTGTACATTCGCTTTTTAATTGAATTATTATTCCCTCTTTGTTTTGTTTATATGACATTATAAATACAATTAACGTCGTCATTAAACGCCGCCTTTCCTTGTTTATCTTGTTTATCATATTTTAAGTAATTACTGCTTAAAGTCATTAAAAATCCCTGTTCTCTGGAAATCACGTCTATTAAAGCCTTTAAATATGATAAATTGTAGTCATCGTTTTTTTTTTAGTTTTTTTTTTCTCTAAGCAGAACGCGCATGCGCGAAAAGCAACTCTGCGTATCCATGGAAAAATCGTATTGTAAAAAGGTATATCCTTTATTCAAGAATGCATCAAAAAGTAACTTCAACACAATTTTAACGAAAATGAAAATATTTTGTTTAATGAGCACCACACATAAATTATTTTGCAAAAAATTATTCATTTTATCACGTTTTGATTAGGGCTCATTTGATGACACCTTGATTGAACAAAATTTCCGATCACCTTACTCAAAGTAAAGAACGTGCAATAAATCCGTTACATAGTGCATGTACATACGTACCCTCCAATCGGAGTTTTTCTTGTAGTTGGCCTATTTTTCTGATGTAACCCTCTGGTATATTGTTGTAGACATCAACTGCGCTGATAACAAAGATGACACAATGAATAACAGCGTCTGGTTTTGGGGAGTCCACGAAGTCGGCGTTGCCAGGTGTTATTGATGCGGCAGGGTTAAACTATATTAAGAAATGGAAAAGTTGGGCATTATTAGACGACTAAATGAGAAACTTATCTTAAAGAGGCTTTTACAGTTTATTTTATTCGCTAACGTGGTCATCACAAAAGCAAAGTGAATCTAATAAAAACATGAAAAATAGTAATGACCTAAAACCATTTACCCTTTTAGGCCAAACTTGTGTTAATTAGTAACAATGAGCTTGTCTCTTATCATCAAATCTCTGATATAAGAATTCTTTTATCTAAATAACCTTATAATCTTGAATTGTAGATGGTAAATTGTGTCAGTCAAATTAAATTTTGTGTTTGCAGTCGACTTGACTCTTATTATTCACAGTATCATATTGTTTTTTCTGAAAGAGCAAATCAACTAATTGCATGGAAGCTAAGGTCTTTAAATATTTATGAGTATAATAAGTATGTTCTTTTTTAATTATTATTTAATCATAAATCTTTATCATGATGAGATCATGTGAAGAATCCCTCTTTATGCTCTTTTCAAATGACAATACTATTCGAAATTGATCTTGTCTATGGGCATCTAGTTAATGCATTAGTTTCTTAAATAAAAAAGTTATGTTAAGTAAAATAAGAAGAAGACTATAAAAAAGTATGACCGAACCGTGTACGAATTCTTTATGTTTCCCCTGACTAAATACACGAAATCGTCAATGTGAAATCCATCCTGATCCCTTGCCTCCAATCCCATCGTATCTCGAAGTATGAAATGTTTAAGTAGTGTGTTTTGAGTGTAGCCCTTGTACTGAAATTTTTTTTTATATTTACAATTTTCTAAGAAAACAATTTTAAAAATAATAGCTTAATATTAACTTAAACACTCTTTCGTATGTACATAATCATTTTGAGCTGAACGTACCAGGTATAAATGACACAAAAATATTGTTCGTAAACGCATTTGCTTTTCATTCACGCTCATCTTAATTGTTTTACTACTAGTATACGAATGCAAGAGTTGTTACATACATACTATTCATAAACATCATGATGTTAAGATTTTATCCAATCGTTTAGCTTAAACATTTATAATCTAATAACCGTATGTAACACATATGCCTTTCCATAAATTATTTTACCTCAACAGTAAAACTTGATGCAGAACTTCCTGGTAGGGCCGGTTGTACTTTTGATCCTTCACCAATACTATAAACGGCACTGATAAATGATGATTTTCCGGACCCAACTGGCCCTGAAGTTAGTAGGTTTGGGCGAACATTTGCTTTTGGTTTAATTGCTTCTATTTCTTTCAAGAGCTTTTTCTCTAACTTAATGAATATAAAGAAAATATATATAACGATAATGTAGAATATTTCTTTAAAGGAGCTCCATTGAGATGAAAAAGGCTTTGAAACTTCTTACATATATATCAGGAAACCCTTAAAATGAAAAGATCTGCACAGGTAAAATAAGAAAAATACTCCAATTCAATTGATTTTTGTACACGATTATTACGCCGATGTGTTATAAACGTTGCAATTTTTTAATCATTGTGCACAGTGAAAATTATTGTTATTATGGAAAAACAGGATGTGTGAATGTTCTCAAAATGTGTACACAAGTTACACGTGAAGACTTTAAATTATTTCCAGTCCCGTCATGTCAAAATACTTCAGTGGAGTCCTTTTTAAAATTATGACATAAGAACATCCAATGAGGAGATCAATTGAAACAAAAGAGACGTCATAACTCTGAGTTTGTAGGTGAAGGATATTTGATCACATTCAATGTTGTACAAGGCAAAGTTCGTTCTCACACAGTTATCTTTAGCAGCTGTCCAAGTTTGACTATCGGAACTTGTCGTTTTAAATACAGGACACGTTTTTATCGTTTAAATCATCAATGGTTAATACCATAATTATACAGATTTTGAACATTAGGTATCAATTTGAAGGCAATAGCCGAATTTCGATATGTGAGGTTAATAGTTATCTCATTACGAGTATATGATACTTCATACTAAACTGTATATGTAAATTGCAGTTCATGGTTTGAAACATGCAAAATCACACTTGACATTTAGTGTTTAATCTTTTGCTAATTACACCACAGTTTAATACATGTGCGGCAATGGTAACCGATGATTAGGCCTATTTAGGCTTAATGAAGTTTAGAAGACTTAGTTATTCTGCATGCAAAATATCAACGATTTAAATCACTTACACATACCAGTTTTTGTACAGAAGTAAAGGGTAGTTTAGTATAAGGGTTCTTTTTTGTGTGTGTCGCCAATTGTTTATGTGGAAGATATTTATGTACATGTTCAGTCGGGTTTTCAAAAAGAATCCTGTATGAACAGTAGAGTAAGTATTTCATTCTTAAAGAAAAACATTCGTAATACTGTTTACCCCGATGGAGCCGGCACACTGAATTCGGGCTTCCTACATGAATAATGTTTTTTTTTATTCTATATGTTCGGTAACCCGACAAAAGAAAAATGACGTACCCCATGGGTGCCATTTTTAAGGTATTTTGTTGACCATTTTGTTAGCATTGGGTATTGAATTTTCCACTCTGTTTGGATAAGGACTTGCTGTGTTCGGATAGAAATGGTCAAATCTTGTTAATTGTATATGTCGCCGTCCAGAAACGGCGGCAACAACTCCGATGTTTTTTCTGGCTAAAATGCAAAATTCAGATATTTTATGATTGTCAAAGCTCTGACCTCGCAAGTTATCGGGAAGACAAAAGAACCTATTATTACTTTCGGCCTTCACCTTCTGGTATCATTCTCAAGTTACTGCCGTTTTTTTTTATAATTATATAACGTTTGTCCCACGTGTGTACAATCACATTGTTTTATATTTAAATGTAAACAGCGTAGAAAAGCATTTTCTTTGTCTAAGCCGATATTCGTCAGCGTTGCAACTGTTCAAAACATTTTTGATACTCCAATCACTTGTAATAGTTTGTTGTTTTAATGTTGCACGGACACGGTATTTTAGCTCAATTATACGTATCATCGTTACGATTATATGGAGCAAAAACTGCACATCTATTATTTCAATAAGTGTTTTAAGTGTTTAATATAGAAAATAACTATTAAGAATCCATTATTAATTTCTCATTATATAAAATGTAAACTGATTAAATGTGTCATGTGTCCGCATATTTATTGCAGAATATTTCTTTAAAAGGAGCTCCATTGAAATGAAAAAGGGCGTATAAAGTCTAACATAGATCCCATAAAACTTTTTAACTGAACAGATCGGCACAGGTAAAATAAAAAAAATACTCAAAATTCAATTGAGTTTGTGTGTGCGATTATTACGTTGCAACGCTTTTCATTTTTGAGTCATTGTTTACAGTGAAAATAATTTACTATTCTGGAAAAAAACGGGATGTGTGATATATCTGAAAAGGTGCTAACAAGTTGCACGTCAAGACCTAAAATTATTTCCAGTCCTTTCATCTTTAAACATTATGGCATAAGATCATCAACATGAGATCAACTGGAACAATAGGCAGGTCATAACTCTGATTTTGCAGGAAAAAGGGCAAAGTTCGTTGTCACACACAGGTATCTTTATCAGCAGTGCAAGTTCGACTATCGGAGCTTGTCATTTTAAAAATCAGGACATGTTTCATCGTCTTAATCATCAATGGTTTGATACCATAATTAAACAGAACTGAAAATTGGGAAGAAATATCGAATTTGAAATATCTCATGAATGTGATTTTAAAAGTAATCTCAATACTTCATATTAAACTTTATCTGTAAATTGCAGCTTATGGTTTGAAACATGCAAAATCACAGATATAAAGTGTTTAAGCTTTGCTAATTACACCACAATTTAATACATGCATGATAATGATAACCGATGATTAGGCCTTAATAAGTTTATCGAAATGCCAAATATCAACTATTTAAGTCACTTTCTTATATTCATATATAAGTTTTACAGAAGTGTACATAAGTTAAGGGTAGTATATAATAAAAGGGTTCGATTTTATCTATGTGTTATAAGTTTTCAAAGTAGACTCCTGTCTGAACAGTAGAGTTAACATTTCTTTTTAATACTGTTAACCCCGAAAGAGCATGCACACTGGTTTCGAGCTTCTTACACGAAGAAAGTATTTCAGTTATATTTATTAGGTAACCCGATAAAAAAACACCTATAGGCGCCACTTTTTACAGTATTTTCTGTCTATTTTGTTATCATGTGGTACTTAATTTTCCATTCTGATTGGCTAAGGACTCGCTGTGTTCAGGTAGACATGGTCAAATCTTGTTAACTGTATATCTTTATATAAATTGTCGTTTTAAGCTCGACTTTTTTTAGAGGTATTGTGATAGTCGCGGCGGTGTTGCCGTTGCCGTCCGCAAACTTGTACCTGGATCATAACTTTTTTAGTTCTTGGTGTATTGTCTTCATACTTGGCCACAACAACCCTTGGGACAAGACCTTTCAGTAGACCACACTAACCTCGACCTTCATCAATAAATGATCTTGACCTTCAAGGTCAAAAGTCCAAATTTTGCATGTTCTTGCTATTATTGGCTGCAACTTTGTTATTTTTGAATGGATTGTCTTCAAACTTGAACATAATGATTTTCAAGGATATTCCTTAAAAATAACCAAACAGACAATGATCTTCACTCATAAATGACCTTGACTTTGAAGGTCAAATTATTGAAATTTTCATTGTTTTGGCTATTATTGGCTGTAGCTTTGTTATTTTTGAAAGGATTGTCTTCAAACTTGAACATAATAATCTTCAATGATAACCCTTAAAAATAACCAGACAGACCTTGACCTACACTCATAAATGACCTTGACTTTGAAGGTCAAATTATTGAAATTTTCATTGTTTTGGTTTTAACTGGCTGTAACTTTGCTGTTATTGAAGGGATCAACTTTATATTATAATAGAACATTCTTAAGGACAAGACCTTCTTGTTTATCAAACCCAAATTGACCTGGGCTCTTTAATGACCTTGACGGTTAAATTACTGAATTTTCTCAGATTCGTGCATTAAATGACCATATATTTATTGGTGTGTATGTATGTATACATCATCATTATCAACAACAACAACAAGAATCTATTTATATAATGCATTGCATGTATCTATTTATAGAATGCGTGTTTCTTTTTAAATATATAAATGAATATATTTATATAGACAAACTAATGTGACAAGACAGACCGATTAATTTCATAAAAAGGAAACGTTAAGATTTGTTCAAACATTTCTTTGTTTGCTTTTAGAAAAAGTAAAAAGTCGAACGTTGTCCACGCCCGGCGGTTTTGTTGTTTATTACCTCAGAATCCCAATATTCAGACTGTCTCCATGGTCGATCAGTTAATAATTTAGGTGGCTCGGGCGCTGAAAGAACAGAATAACTACTTTAATATCAACATGAATTTAACAGCAAATAATGACATAAGTATAAGTTTAATTATTATCTAACATCGGAACGTGTAGTGCGTTGAGGAGGATATTTTGAAAGATTAGAATCTATTACACATTTACCAAATGGACCGGTGTCCAGTAATTATCAGATCCATGATTTACACATATTTTTTTGTAAAACTTGTATGCTATCTTTGTAGCAACAAAATTATATGAACATTTTATACTCCCCCACACTGGCCATAGCTTTTGCCCATAGCAGCAGCGGTGGGAGTATTAGTCGCAAAAGCGGTGGATTAAATATGGCCGTTTGCTTTTGTCGGTAAGTTTATGACTGAAATTTACTTGATGTTTTAATGTTTCACTGGAAACACCTAGTAAGACATAAGCCGACATATTTACTCTTTTAACTTATTACACGCACACAGTGCACTTAATAGTCTTTTATGCAAACACTTCTCTGTACAGTATGACGAGTGGTTAACACTCTTGTCTAATTTTGGTAATAGCACGTACAAATGTGTACAAAACGACCCCTACGTACACCAGCATCACATCGAATGTAATATGCTGTTGCACAAAATGATCATATTTTGGAACTTTTGTAAATTGTTATTGCCTTTTCATAAAAGAGTTGACAAAAATTGATAACGCAGACGGTGGTGAATTCGATTGCAACGCAGTGCGATGGGCCCGTTAACTTGACATAACACAGTTTTTAATTCAGTACAACCCGTTTCTTTCTTTGACATCAAAGAAACGTGTTTCTTTGGTGTCTAAAGTAATATAAACTTATAAACAAACTTTATAATTTCTGCAGTGCGTTTGTAACGTCGCTTTTCATTGGATAATCGTGACGTTTATATTATTAGTTATAAAGATCGTTGACAGGTTATATGGCCCTATATA